TATCATAGCCAAATCGAAATTGAAATCATCATGAACAAAAGAATTATGATGACAGGATGATAATATGAACACACAAAAATATATTATAAAAGAAAGTTGAAAAGTATCATAAAACCCTAATACACCCAAGTGTTCAATGTTCCATTAAACTCCCAAAATTATGAGTCCAAAAAACTTATTTAATGGAAGAAATGTTCCAAAGCAAAATGGGAAAGAGATCGATTTTAAGTGAGAATGTTCATCAAATACAAGTAGGATTGCTAGCTGGAGTGAGTGTTTTCATCACATTCTGCTCTTCTCAGCTGCCCTCCCTCCATTGCATCCTCTAATCGCCAGTGAACTAATTTAACAAAATATAACATTTGGTCAACAATACCACAAACACAAATACAAACTCTATAATATATCTTGATCGGAAGCATTTTCGTATTTTCAATATAGTAAAAATTTGAATGAAAATATGTATTAAAACTTGGCGATTTTAAATGGTAAATAAGTGTTGAACCTAATGTTTTAATACAGAATAGGATATTATTTAGTTGTATTAGGTGTTTTAGATTGTTTTAAAATTGTAAAGAAACCGAATTAAAATAATTGCTTGTTGTGGTATTTTAAATATAAAATTTAATACAAAAGTAATTAAGTTTTTATGTGATTTTCTTTGTATAGTATATATATATTACTTGAATGAATAGTAAATATATTTTGAAAAAATATATATATATATATAAACAAATAAAAATAGAAATTTAGAATATGCTATTTCAGATGAAAAATAAGTTATATATAATGTTTATCAGAGAAGGTAGAATCTCCCTTCTTCTTTCTTCATTTTTTTTTTAATAGATAATGCAGAAATATTGGTTTGCCTTTAGACATCCGTCTGAGTCATAGCTCTGTTTTTTCTTTCTTTACTCGGCAATCTCTACGGAGCTAAAGTCTTACCCATTAGTGAGCTTCTAATGTATATATAAATTCTCAAACATTTTTTCTTCTCTTTCCTTTGTCTTGATTGAATATTCTAATTTACTTAGAGCATGTGCAATGGCTTTTTACTTATATTTTCCACTATATTGGAAGGAGACAAAAATAAGAGTAAAAATTATTTTTTTATTTTATTCAATATCATAATTATCAATTTTGGTCTCATTCAAATGAAAAGTTATCAATTTTAGTCCAAAAATATTTGACTGGGACTGAACACGGTCGTGTTGGGTTGAACACGGCCGTGTTGGATGACTCAGAAAGTGACTGGGCGTCCCAGGTAGCCAACACGGCCGTGTTGATTACCCCGCACTTTTGAACACGGCCGTGTTCCTATCCGTGTTCTGAACACAGCCATGTTCCTAAACATGGCTAAGAACATGGCTGTGTTGAAAATATGGGTTGGAACATGGTCTAGAACATGGCTGTGTTGAAAACATGACTGTGTTGAGAACACGGGCAGAAACACGGCCGCCGTTCAGAAGTGCAGGGTAATCAACACGGCCGTATTGGCTGCTTGGGACGCCCAGTCACCTTCTGAGTCATCCAACATGGCCGTGTTCAAACCGACACGGCCATGTTCAGTCCCAGTCAACCATTTTGGGACTAAAATTGATAAATTTTCATTTGAGTGGAATCAATTTTTTTGAATAAGACCAAAATTGATAATTATGATATTGAATGAGAGAAAAAATGATTTTTGCTCCAAAAATAATGAAAGAGAAAATATATTTATTATTTTTGTGAGAAATGTGGAAAGAGAAAAAGTCTGGGCATGGCTTCTGCTTCACCAAGTCTTGGGGAAGGATTTTAATTTTTTTTTTCCTCCAATAATGAGTCATTAAATGTATAATATGATCAAGCTTGGGAGAAGAACTTCTATTCAGCTGGGGAAGCCATTTATAATATTCTCACTCTCTTATTCACAAACTTATCGATATAATATATTGGAATTGCCGATTAAGCTAATAATGTGCACTTTGGTTTTGCTCATTAGTGTTAAACTTATGAATGCAATCACTATAAACATAGTTGGTTTTATTTATATATAATTATAATAATGACATTCACATTAATAATAAACTAGTTACTTATTGCAAATTCATTGACATTTTAGCAAATAGATTTGTTTAATTTATTTTGTTATGCTCTTTTGGTAAGTTTTGATTTGATTTGCTGATATAATTTAATTTTATTATTGTATCGTAGAGAATATAAATTATATCAATGTATAATCAACAACCTTTATTTCCGATATCAACAGGTGGATATGGAATGACGAGTAATAACCGCGAAAAAATCAAAGTGGTGATAGAGGGAATTATTGATGATCACTTTTTTTACTTTTTCTTTACTAAAAAAGTAAAAATTTATATTTTTACCTATTTTTTTAAAACTCGTGTCCGGTCAAATGAGCACACAGTTGGACGATGGAGGAAGTAATAAATTTAAGATTTTTTTAATGGTGAGTTTTTAGGTCGAACTCCTATGATTTTTAAGTTGAAAAATTATTCAAAGAATTAAAAGTTTGAGTCTACAAAAATCAAAAGCAAAAGTGATATTTAAATCTAATTTTGTAATTTAAAGTCTACTATTGTTGTCTAATAAAGTCAGATAAAAGCAAAATCTAATGAGGTGAGTGCTTCGTGTAATTGTTTTATGCAGCAGCCAACCATGTTACGAATGTGATAAAAATTGTGTACAGTAATAAGTGCAGTAAAGACGATTGTGTTAACAAGATCTTATATTTACAGTAATAAGTGCAGTAAAGAAGATTGTGTTAATAAGATCTTATATTTTTTACTTTGGTGTTTCACCCGTTCCCTACCATGCGTTCACTCTCTTTAGTCTAGATTAGAGCTGCTAATGATCCGAGCCGAGTCAAGCCGAGTCAAATTTTAAGTATTGGTTAATATTAATGGACAAGGCTCGTGTTCGTTCGTTAAGCTTTCGAGCTTGTTCGTAGTATTCGACCTCGGCTCGTTAAAATTTTTTGTTGTTTGAGCTCGTATTCGTGTTTGGCTCGTTTATGCTCGATTAAGCTCGTTTGAGTTCATTCGAGCTCGTTTGTCTTATTTTTTTAAATTTATATATAAATTATAAAGAAAATTTAAAATTATTTTATTTAGATATTTTAAATTAATATTTTATTTATTTATAAATTATAATTTTATATGTATATATAATATTTATAATAAATATATTATTTAAACGAACGTTTGCGAATGTTCGTGAACAAAGCTCGGACTCGTTCGTTAACCAAACGAGCCAGTTTATGTTGTTCGCCTCGACTCGTTAACGTTCGCGAACGAGCTTTAACCGAGTTAAATCGAGTCGAACCGAGCCGAGTTCACGAACGCCTCGGTTCATTTAACAGCTCCAATCTAGATTGAATTAGATTGCAAAGTTGATGAGGCTGCTATCATACCATTTTGCTTTTGCTAAGAATCACCTTGACAATACTTTTGGAGCGTGAAAATATATGGATACTCCATATATATTTGTTTTTTACAATCGAGTGTGAACATGTTAGCACTCAAAGAATCAAACGCAACGCGTTTGTCAAATATCCAGAAGGCTCTTGTTTATATTCTCAATAATGAAAAAAGATTCTCAACAATGTCTTCACCATACATTTAAATAACAATTAACCCTAAACTCAACAATTAAGCCCACAACTAATAAATCATGACAATAACAAATAATACAACAATAAAAATAAATAATTAAACCACTGTCGGCCCAATCCGCTTGCCGCGACGTCGTCAGCTGTAGACCAACAACGGCCGTGGCTCCACCACCCCGACCCCTTGCTTCACATCAGAACATGGGTTTGGTGAACAAATCAAATAAACAAAGAAATTTATGATATATTATTTCTATTATAAGCAATAAATATTACTTTTCGTCTAGTCTAAGAGGAGAGCATTAAAACTTCACCAAAAAGAGGACAAAGATCCATGACTCCACGGCCGGTCCTGACTTTCGAGGGGTTCGGGACGAAATAAAAATTAAGGGCCCTTAAATATATATATATAATATTTTTTTATCTATAATAAAATATAAATAATTAAAAAAAGATTTTTTTTTTTTAATATTCTTATGCAACAACGTGAGGAGTAAGAGGATACTATGTATTAAAAATTAAGGGCCCTTAAATATGTATTAAAACATGGCGATTTTAAATGGTAAATAAGTGTTGAACCTAATGTTTTAATACAAAATAGGATACTATTTAGTTGTATTAGGTGTTTTAGATTGTTTTAAAATTGTAAATAAACCAAATTAAAATAATTGCTTGTTGTGGTATTTTAAATATTAAATTTAATACAAAAGTAATTAAGTTTTATGTGATTTTCTTTGTATAATATATATATATATATATTACTTGAATGAATAGTAAATATATTTTGGAAATATATATATATATATATATAAACAAACAAAAATAGGAATTTAGAATATGCTATTTCAGATGAAAAATAAGTTATATATAATGTTTGTTAGAGAAGGTAGAATCTCCCTTCTCTTTCTTCATTTTCTTTTTTTAATAGATAATGCAGAAATATTGGTGAAAACTTACACAAATAAACCTATAAAATTATCAACAAAGCTATAATTACTTACACTTAAATATGCCCATTTAACAATACCTTTTCGTTATTCAAACTTCTTCAATCTCTGCGACCTCCGGTCCATCTAATAACTTTGATTCCTAGAGGAATTAATATATATATATATATATATAACATAAGTAAGATGATCATACACTGACCTCTCAATAAAATTTTTATTTTAGGAGAAAAATGAAATATGATTTTTGACCATGTTTACTCATTTGACGGAAAATTTACTTAAAAAACTTTCTTAATTATATGTATATATTTCTCAATATAAATATGCAAAAATATAACTGATTATAAAACAAGACAAATACCTAAAAAATTATAAAAGTTGAGAAAGGTAAAATATTACCTCTACGCTTGCGGACATAGTATGTGGGCATAGAAAAATATTTAAATCTTTACTCCTTTCAAGTTTTCAAAGGCTCTGTCGTCTACTACCGCAAACTTCAACTTTGGTGCGATCCAAGATTCAAGCGACAAAGACTCCATTTGTGAGCAGTTACGTATCCATAAGTATTCCAACAATGGCAACTCAATATCTAATCTCCATTCACAAATCATCCCTAGAATTGGCAGGTCTGTAAGTCTTAATTTAGCCAACCTTGGAAGTGGCGTTGAACTATCATTCATCTTTTTGTTGCCATAAAGGACTACTTCCATTTTCTTGCAATCTTCAATGTATAATTCTTCAATTTTGACAAGGTGCCCAACAATTGCAGAAGAAAATAAACTCTTGATGTTGTGACATCTTCCTATTACCAATTTCTCTAATGATATAAAGAAAGACTGAGGAATATGCCGGCACCAAATATTGCTCATGTCTTCATATCCCGAAATTTGCAACTTCTTCAATCCGTCAATTTTAACCTATAAAACAAACAACATTTTCTATTCCGATTAAAAGATAAATTGAATTAAAGATGACTTAATTGAATGTGACATCTGGTATTGCATCAAATTTAATTACTTATAAATTAAAATTACTAGGATATATAATTAAATGAAGTCTAAGTCCGAATATTTTCTAATAGAATTGATTAAAATTCAAAAGGGCAAATAAATAAGATCGAAAATATTTACAATGTATAGTAAGATCTACACATATTGTTACTCTGTGTTTGAACAACTAAAATAAATTGTTATTTATTCGAATAAATAGTGAGTATTATATATACTGAGCATATTAAAATGCTAAGTATATCTACTGTAGCTTTCAATTTATTTGAAAATTTTATATAATAGTAATAAAAATAACTCATAGAATTTGGATTTGTTTTTGTTCTTTGGTTGTATTGCAAACTAAAACTCAGTACAAGTAGTTACTTCAATAGGCTCTGGTTGCGTACTGGGTGCTGATTTGACCTAATTAGCAAATGTCTATAAAATATTTTTTATATATCTCTGTATAGAATATGACATATATATATTTGAATAACATATTATATAGTTATATATAGAAAAATATAGTATTTTGATTTTATCACAATAAAAATTTGATCTAATTAGCAAATGTCCATAACGAAAATAACAAACCATTACAATGTAATAGCATATTATATAACACAATATATATTATATGTCTTATGACAATTTGTTAATTAATTTCAAATTAATGTGTTATATATTATGTAATAATTTGCTAATTTCTTCATATTATACTATTATAAATTCTCAGTTTTAATGATTAATAATCATTAATAATTAAAAAATCATTTTACATGGATATGGTGATTGAATATAATATTTTAATAAAAAAAATATGTTTAATATGATTTTTGGAATAAAAATAATATTGAATATTAAATTTGAAGAAATATATTTTACTATAAATTATGCAAAAGAAAAACAAAATTACAACAAACAAGCTTTTTTCTAGTTAAATATTTTTAAAGACAGAGATAGATAATTGATCAATTCAAATAACTTTATCATTAAGCCTACCACAATAATCCAACAAATAGAAACAATATCTAAAGAATAATCTGAGGTAAACCATACATACCTTTTGGTTGCAGAATAAGTGAAGGGATTCATCTTCATCTTCATCTTCATCATCATCATCCTCATGGTGGCATTTTTTATTTGATTCCGTGGAACAAATAATGCTCATGAAATTCGGACAATCTATAATTCTCATTTCAGCTAGCATTGGGAATTCAATGCTTTCAATTCTTTTCCCAAAGCTAGTTAGAGTTGATAGTCCTTCAAGACATAGAAACTCCAATTTCGGAAAAATAACGTAGTTTGTCATCTCATCATTTTCATTCTCATTCTTTTTTAGAAGTCCTTCCATCAGCTCATCTTTTACAATCAAACTTTCACATCCCCTTTTCTTAATTGCTATCACTTGTTCCACGAATTTGCAATCTTGAATCCACAATTCTTTGAGATTGACAAAATGATCAATTCCTGAAATAAAATATATACTTCTAATATTGTTGCATCCAGATATGCTCAGGTTTTCCAATCCATTAGCTTTGACCTGTAAAATTTTCATATTTATTTAAGCTATTATTAGTGATCTTTGAACCGATAAAATAAGAATTAAATTGATATTTAGTTTTATTAACTTTTTTTAACTAATATTAATTATGCAATAAAAATGAAGTTGAGAATTGCAACTCATATTTAACTGGCAATACCCCCCCCCCCCCCCTCCAAAAAAAAGGAAAAAAAAAGTAAGAAATTAATTTTATTTCATTTTCTTATGTGTAAATTATGAATTTATGATTTACGAAATATACTTTGAATTAGTTAACTTGAGTAGGGTATGTTGTTTTATTAATCTACTATTCTCAACAAAATAAATTATAAATACATATTTTTAATAAAATAATATATTATTTTTTCTCACAAAATATTTTTAAAATGATAAAAATTAGTTCACCCAAATTACAATACAATTTTCTAAAAAAAAAAAAGAAAAAAAAAATCTCTCAAATATTAAAAGACTAAAATAATTAATATATACATCATATTCATTATGTTTATATTACTCTATATACCTAATATAAATAATATATCTTCAAATTATTTCAAAAAATAAACATACATTTTTACTTAGCTATAATTTTTGTTATTTCCCTTTTTTTCTTTTGCAAAACTAAAATTCAATATGATATTTAAAATATAATATTTTAATAAAATATATTATAATGGTCAGAATGAAATATAGCCTTGAATACTGAAGTTTTTTTAAAAAATAGTACTATTAATTATACATATAAAAGAAATTAAATAATACATACTTTTTGAGTTTGTTCTTTTAGCATTTCAAATTAAAATCAATACTATTTATCCCGTATAATTTCTAAAAAAAATACATATTTCTTCTCACAAAATATTATATTATTTAAACAAAAATTTGAATTGATATCGTATTTCAAATCAATTTCAAACCACCAAACAAACCCTTAGTTTTTATATTATATCAAAATCTAATTTTTAGCTGAAGATATTACACCTAATGCCTTTTATATACCATACGAGGCTCCGATTTCAATTTAAATTTTACTACTTCTAATCTCAACCCCAAACCTACATCCAAACTTATATCATTTCTCAATTCATATAATTATATAATCAAACCTAACACAATGACCCAACAAATATAATAAATAGCTAAAGAATGATCAAATATAAATGAAAGGTACCTTTTGTTTGCAAAATAACGAATGGGACTGTTCATCATCATCGGCATCATTCCTTTGGTGGCTTTTTCTATTGCATTCCATGGGACAAACAAAACTGCTGAGATTCGGACACTTTTTAATGTTCACTATAGCTAGCATTGGGAATTCAATGCTTTCAATTCTTTTCCCAAAGCTAGTTAGAGTTGATAGTCCTTCAAGACATAGAAACTCCAATTTCGGAAAAACAATGTAGTTTGTCATCTCATCATTTTCATTCTCATTCTTTTTTAGAAGTCCTTCCATCAGCTCATCTTTTACAATCAAACTTTCACATCCCCTTTTCTTAATTGCTATCACTTGTTCCAGAAATTTGCAATCTTGAATCAACAATTCTTTGAGATTGACAAAATGATCAATTCCTGAAATAAAATATATACTTCTAATATTGTTGCATCCAGATATGATCAGCTTTTCCAATCCATTAGCTTTGACCTGTAAAATTTTCATATTTATTTAAGCTATTATTAGTGATCTTTGAACCGATAAAATAAGAATTAAATTGATATTTAGTTTTATTAACTTTTTTTTAACTAATATTAATAATGCAATAAAAATGAAGTTAAGAATTGCAACTCATATTTAACTGGCAATACCCCCCCCCCCCCCCCCCCCCAAAAAAAAAAAAAGGAAAAAAAATGCAAGAAATTAATTTTATTTCATTTTCTTATGTGTAAATTATGAATTTATGATTTAAGAAATATACTTTGAATTAGTTAACTTGAGTAGGGTATGTTGTTTTATTAATCTACTATTCTCAACAAAATAAATTATAAATACATATTTTTAATAAAATAATATATTATTTTTTCTCACAAAATATTTTTAAAAAGATAAAAATTAGTTCACCCAAATTACAATACAATTTTCTAAATACTTTTTCATTTTCCGATAAAGCTTAAAAAAAAAAAAAAAGAAAAAAAAAATCTCTCAAATATTAAAAGACTAAAATAATTAATATATACATCATATTCATTATGTTTATATTACTCTATATACCTAATATAAAAAATATATCTTCAAATTATTTCAAAAAATAAACATACATTTTTACTTAGCTATAATTTTTGTTATTTCCTTTTTTTTCTTTTGCAAAACTAAAATTCAATATGATATTTTAAATATAATATTATAATGAAATATATTATAATGGTCAGAATGAAATATAGCCTTGAATACTGAAGTTTTTTTTTAAAATATTACTATTAATTATACATATAAAAGAAATTAAATAATACATACTTTTAGAGTTTGTTCTTTTAGCATTACAAATTAAAATCAATACTATTTATCCCGTATAATTTCTAATAAAAATACATATTTCTTCTCACAAAATATTATATTATTTAAACAAAAATTTGAATTGATATCTTATTTCAAATCAATTTCAAACCACCAAACCAACCCTTAGTTTTTATATTATATCAAAATCTAATTTTTAGTTGAAGATATTACATCTAATGCCTTTTATATACCATACGAGGCTCCGATTTCAATTTAAATTTTACTACTTCTAATCTCAACCCCAAACCTACATCCAAACTTATATCATTGATCAATTCATATAATTTTATAATCAAACCTAAAACAATGATCCAACAAATATAATTAATAGCTAAAGAATGATAAAATATAAATCAAAGGTACCTTTTGTTTGCAAAATAACGAATGGGACTGTTCATCATCATCGGCATCATTCCTTTGGTGGCTTTTTCTATTGCATTCCATGGGACAAACAAAGCTGCTGAGATTCGGACAATTTTCAATTTCTATTTCAGCTAGCATTGGGAATTCAATGCTTTTAATCTCTTTCCCAAAGCTAGTTAGAATTGATAGTCCTTCAAGGCATAGAGACTCCAATTTCGGAAAAACAATGTAGTTTGTCATCTCATCATCTTCATTCTCATTCTTTTTTAGAAGTCCTTCCATCACCTTATTTTTTACAATCAAACTTTCACAACCCCTTTTCTTAATTGCTATCACTTGTTCCATGAATTTGCAATCTTTAATCCACAATTCTTTGAGATTGACAAAATGATCAATTACTGAAATTGTACACAAGGTTTTGATATTGTTGCAATCAGATATGGATAAGTATTCCAATACATCGAATTTAACCTGCAAAAATACAACTCCATATTTAGTTAGTTAATAGTAGTGATGAGATTAATGAATAACTTCATTCACTTTTTTACATAGCAATGTAGCATTGATGTTGTGTATAAATAAAGTTCAAAGACATTCATCAACAGACATATGTACCTAGCTAGTACGAAAATTAAAAAAATAATAAAATAATAAAACTTAGAATTTAAGAATTTAATATTATTATGTTTAAACAATTGTATTTTAAATTCTTTAACCTCAATAAAAAGAATAAAAAATTCATTTTACTTTATGAATGACTTTTTTATTATTTTTATTATTTTTTTTGTTATACAAAAAAATTAAATGTGATGTTCTAAATAAGAATAATGGTTACAACAATATTTTCAGTGAAAAAAATTAATATAATTTTTAAAATGAAAGGTAGATATCTAATATTAAATTTCAAGAAAAACGCTTGCTTTGAAAAAAGATAATTTTTTAGTGAGAATACTAAAATGATAAAAAGAACTATTTTACTTGGAACGGAGGGATTAAATTTAAATACAAAATTACTAGATAATTACTTTTACTTTTATTTTTTATTTTTTACTATTTAGATCCACACACTTTCTTAAAAAATAATAATTTCAGCAAAAAATGAGAGTGGGATGTTTAATAATAATAATAATAATAATAATAATAATAATAATAATAATAATAATAATAATAATGTGGATATGCATACCTTCTCAAGATCAAATAGGTAAAGAGTAATTGGACTATTCTCGTTGGTGTTTCCTTCCTCTTTCTTCTCACTGCTTTCCACAAAATTTACAAATTTTGGACATTTCTTTATCTTCAACTCCTCCAACATTGGAAACTCAATGCTAGCCGTTGCTTTGCTAAAACTAGTAAGATTTGGTAACTTGGATAGTTTTAGCATCTTCAATTTCGGGACAAGAACATGACTTGTGTGTCCATTAACAAACACTTGTTTCATCTTCTTGCAATTCCTGATTTGGAGCTTTTCAAGATTTGAGGGGAAGTCTTTGCTACTTTCAAAAGAGAAGAGATTTTGTAGCTCATTGCATTCTTCCAAATATACCTCAATCAAGTTGTTGAGCATAACATGTTGATTTGGACTCCACAATTTTTCAAGTGATGGCAATCTTACAAGATGCATTTTTCTCAAATTATTAAAAGAAATTGATCCCTCTAATATTGGTCCATCACATAACTCTTTTATGCTTGGAAGATTATAAAGTTCCATGGACTTCAATTCTCTGAAAGATACAAAGCTCCTACAATCAGTTGATGTCGCTGCCGCCGTGGTTGCATTTACCAATGACTTGAGCATTCCACATTCCCGAACTTTCAAAGACTTAATAGTGCTATGGACTTGTGAAAGATGAAAGTTTATCAAACCATCTCCTTCTAAAGAGAGCACATCAGTATTCCTTGCAAGTCCAATGATCCAATTTGGAATATGAATGTTCTCTTTTGATAATCCATGCAAAATCAAAGCTTTCTCTGGAATCCTACAATCCTCTTCTCCAAATAAAACTTTAAACCTCTTTACACATGGAAGCTGAATCTCCTCCTCGAGCGCACTAACATCCTCAATTTGAATCTCGAGGCATGTTAGCTTGCGTAATGACTCAAGCTCTTTGAGAGTGGCATTTTTTCTCTTCATTTCATTGAGCTTTGTTGATTCCCATCCCTTGAAACTATGTAACATCTTCAATTCCTCTAATGCAGTTAAGTTTGATATGATTCCAGGAGATACTCTTTTGAGACCTGAGGAGTAGGAAAATTCTACCAACCTCAGCCTCTTCAACATCCCTATCCCAAGAGGTATCTCATGAATATTTGGACAGCAAACACAACTCAATATTTCAAGACTTAACAACGTGCCAACAACATCAATGTTTTCCAGTGGGCAATTGTTTAGCCGCAATGTCCGAAGATTTTTCAGCAACAAAATTGCTTGTGGCAGTGATTTGCACGATATTTCTTTGAAAGACAACACGCGAAGCTCTTTCATTGTCTCCATAAAGGAAAAGTCGCTTATCTCTAAAGCCTTTGACTGACCACATGACATAAACAGACTCAGTTTGCTGAAGTCAACCTCTTGCTCATTTAAAATTGAGTCCCACCATCCTCCTTTTTGTAGGAGCAAAAGCTGAAGACTTGGAAAATTAGGCCCCAAAAGGTATTTAAGAAAATCACTATCCTTTTCCGGAAATTCCAATATCCATTTGCAACTGGTAGAATAATATCCCCTCGACTCATGCTGCAAATCGACCGAGCCATTTTGTGATGCGATGAATCTAACCACATCACGAACCACATCATGCATTTTGACAGTGTTATTCAAGTCTCCGTCCATCAGCAAGAAATTACTTTTAAGCTTATCAATTGAATCATAAACTCTACTTCTTGCATCTCTCAAACTACAACCTTCTTCCGACAACCCAAAGCTGCATAAGATTAGGTCCTCGAGGCTAATATTAAAATCCTCAGGAAATTGACTGCTGAGCTGCAACAAGGATTTGCTATCATCATCTTTCAAGTAATCATAACTTAGCCTCAATGCGTTATAAATTTTTCTTAAAGTTTCATCAATTTTGGGTGACGTGGGACATTTTAGTTGATCCAATGCTCTCTCCCATTTGTCACAGTTATTTTCGTCTTTCATCGCCATGCCGACATTTATAATTGCAAGAGGCAAACCTTCGCACTCTTTCACTACTTCTTTGGCTATAGACTGTATATCTGAGTTATTCACGCAATCTCCAGCTTTCGCTTGAAAGAGGGACCACGCTTCCTCTTCAGACAAGGTTTCCATTGCAACAATCTGAACATCCATTTCTTTCAACAGATCTCTATTCCGAGTAGTTATTAAAACAGAGCAGCCTTCGGACTCGCTTTTACAAGGAATTCCTAATTCCTCCAAGCTGATACTTTCCCAAATATCATCCAGAATTAGGAGGGTCCGTCTTGTGCCTCTTAGTCTCTCACGTAGTTTATGTGCTCTAGCTTGGTATGATTCAACATCCTTAATCTCATTCAAACCCAAGCATTCAGCAATCTCGCATTGGATTTTCATCGGATCAACATTTTGACCGACAACAACCATCACAGCTTCTTCGAATAAACCCAATTCCTCCTTCGCTATATATTGAACTTTTTTGGCCAAAGTAGTCTTCCCCACACCACCCATACCGCATATCCCAATCAAATGAACATTCTCATCCTTAAAAGCTCTTATGACACCTTCTTCAATATCTTTCCTAGATGAAAATTCAAGGGCTTCTCCACGTGGAACAGAAGCCTGTGATGCCGGAAGTCCAGGCACCGATATATGATCTCCCAAATCTCTACGCCCTTGTAGAAGCTTTTCTATTTTTTCAGTAGCCTTTACAGCTCTCCGACTCATTTCATAATGTGATAGAATCGTGCAGCATCCATTATTCAAGTGGGAACTTCCTTCTTGAATTTCACCAGGGTCATTCTCAATCTTGCTAGCCTCTCCAATCCAGTAAGAAACCTTTTGAAGAATCTGATGCGTATTATTTCTCTCTTGGTCGACTCTTTTTTGCAAATCATCTTTTTCATTTTTCAACTCTTTGGATTTTTCCCTGAATTTCTCAACATTCTGTTTGAAGCAGCATAAATAGTTGAACTGCTTTTTAACGAAGGAAACGAACTCTTTTCCAACTTCCTCTGCAGCTGGAGTAACCAAAGCTCCCGCATCACCATACATATTTTAACCCACTTACTGTAAAAATCAACATGAATATTTTAGGCCCTGAATAATATTGCTCTAATCTATGGACATATATTCAAAGCAAATTGGTGTGTGACCTACCCCTCATATCTTTTTTTTTTTTTTTTCATTTTTTTTTTTTTTTGTAATTTTCAATTAAATCATGCTTATATTAACTATCCCTTTACTATACAATCATGAGTAACACCATTAATGAAATTATACTTACATAAAAAATATATATATTGTTATAACTATCACTATTATTATAATATCATTTATGAAAGTAAATTAAGCCTAATATGCTTCTTCGATCCATCGCCTGAAAATTCAAAAGCCAACATTAGTATTAGAAATGTCAGGACTATCGGTGAACTTGCAGTTCAGGATTTTGGTGTGATAGTAAATTAATGTCGAAAAGTGCAAAGTGAACACAAGCTTAAGCCATTATTAAATAAATTTTAAGTTTGAAGTTTTATAGGATATATTGTGTGTTCTTTAATATTTTTATTTTATATCTTTAGGTTGATATTTTTTAAGTAAAAGTAGTTATGGTATATAATATTTTGTATAAAAAAAGTAAGTATTGAGCTGAACAAATATTACAAAATAGTTCAAAATAGTCAATTAAATTTTACTATTTGTTGTGTTTTCCTTGAGGAATTATTTTAGTTTTTGTTATTAATTACTCAAAACTGTTAAAATATTATTAAAATATCCATCATCATGTTGTTCTTCATCAATAAAGGTGTAGTATTTTGTAAAAGTAAATAAACTCATAATGTTTAAAGCACTCAAAATATATTGATTGCAAAATTGTCGACTTTTTGGTCTTTTCATGTTATATCTCTATATTCAGTTTAAAATGGTTTGTAAACCTATAAAGATTTAATTATTTCTCTTCATTATCAGTTTTCATTATATTAACAAATATACATTCGATGTTTGATTAGAAAATTCTCTTAGTTTTGTTGATTGAATAATTAATTCTGATTGAGTCCTATATTAGGTGTTGATTGAATCGTTAATTATGATTGAGTCCTATATTAGGTGTCGATTGAATAATTCATTGTGATTGAGTCTTATATTTAGCAGAAAAGATTTATTTACATATTTTAGTTTGTTTTCCTTTCTTGGAATTTTGGTTTATCTATATGTATTTGGACTTTATTTTGTGAAATAAGATGAGAATCTTTATCTTCTTGGTTATTTGTATCATCGTTTTATCTATCTTCAATTGGTATCAGAGCCAATACTATGAACAATGTCACTCAATTATTGGTCCATATTCTTTATGGGAAAAATTACAATTGGAGGAGTGCTCAAATGAGAGTCTTGTTCGATTATCATGATTTATTAGAAGTCGTTGAATCTGGTATTCTAGAATTGCCAGAAAATGCTTGTGAGGCAATCGCATGAAGCTTGGAGTACATTGACTGCATCTTACAAGGGTGATGACAAAATCAAGAGAGTACACCTTCAGACTTTAAGGCGCCAATATGAGTTGATGGAGATGCAGTCTACCGAGGCAATTGATGCATATATTAATCATGTCATTGCATTGGCCAACAATATGAAAGTCAATGGAGAAGCAATTTCAAAACAAGGAAAGGTGGAAAAGATTCTCAGAACTCTCACTTCGAGATTCAAGCATGTGGTTACCGCAATTGAAGAGGCTCATGATGTGACAGAATTGACAGGAAAGTTATTGTCTAGTTCATTGAAGGCACATGAACAAAGAATGGACAATAACAAGGTTAAGACACCCGCTGAAAAAGTGCTTCAAGCCCAAACTTCATTTGGTGATTCTGGATGGAAATTAGGAAACATTCATAACAGAGGCCGAGGGCGACGTGGATATTACTCAAATCAAGGACAAAGAGGTTATCATTCCACCCAAAATAATTCACTCAATAGTGATTGGAATAATAAATTTCAGTTGTCTAGAGGCCGATGTCATGGACGGGGTAGAGGGTTGCACGATAAATCACATGTAGAGTGCTATAATTGCCACAAAAGAGGCCATTATGCCAATGAATGCAGATTTAAGAGTGAGAACCAAGCTGTACATGAAGAAGAAAACCAGTGTCAAACTGAAGGTGGTCATGCCATTATGATGGTCTCTACACTAATTAAGGTGCGAATGACTCAGGATGCACAAATCATATGTGTGGAAGTAAAGAATTGTTTGCTGACATGCATGAATCATTTCATACAATAGTAAGATTTAGCGATGGTAGAAGTGTTCTTGTGACTGGAAAGGGCAATATTCTCATCACATTGAAAAATGGCGATCACAAGTACATCACGACCGTATTCTATGTACCTGATTTGAAGAGCAACTTGCTAAGTGTGGGGCAATTGGCTAAGAAAGATTATAGGCTCAATATCTCTGGCAATCACCTCTCTATTTTTGATAAACAAGGTACTTTAATTCTCAAAACCTTTTTATCAAAAGATCGTATGTTTCCAGTTAATAACACTAAGGGTGAATACAAGTGTTTGAGTGCCATAATAAACAATGATTCATGGATTTGGCATTTAAGGTTTGGTTATTTTAACTTTCAAAGCCTTAAAAACCTTGCCAAACAAAATATGGTGATGGGTTTGCCTTATATTGAACACCATGATCAGTTGTGCGAGGCTTGTGTAATTGAAAAGAGTCACAGGTTACCATTTGTAAGAAATTCATGGCGTGCTCTTCATCCATTAGAGCTCCTTCATGCTAATGTGTGTGGTCGGATGAACACAACATCACTTGGTGGCAACAAATATTTTCTCACATGTATTGACAATTTTTCAAAGAAAATGCGGGTTTATATTTTGAAGAACAAGTCCGAGGTCTTTAATTGCTTCAAGATTTTTAAGGCTATGGTTGAAAAACAAAGCCAATATGAACTCAAGATGGTACGGAATGATGACGGTGGTGAATATACCTCCAATGAGTTCAAGGACTTTTATGAAAGGCATGGAGTGCAACACACCATAACATTTTCTTACACTCCACAACATAATGGCGTAGCTAAAAGAAAGTACCGGACTATATTGGATATGGCGAAGAGTATGCTGAAAGCGAGAGGTATGCCTAATTTCTTTTGGGCTGAAGTTGTAGCAACTATTGTTTATTTACTAAACAGGTCGCCTAGTAGGAGCTTAAATAAAATAACTTCTATTGAAGCCTAAAGTGGATTCAAGCCTAATGTGAAGCATTTGAAGGTATTTGGCTCGAATTGCATATGCATATATTCCTGCATCAATGAGAACAAAACTTGATGATAGAGCCCAGAAATGCGTGTTTATTGGTTACAAAGAATGGGGGTATAAGTTGTATAATCCATCGACCAAAAAGGGTAATTTTTAGTCGTGATGTCCCTTTTTCTGATGAAGAATTATGGCGTTTGGAATGTAGACATCCAAAAAAATCCACAGCAGTACACAATTTTTGTTTTTGATGAAGAACAAGAAATGTCTAGATCAACTTCGGTTACTACTGAGATGCCCCCGGTGAACTCAAAGATGTTTGCACCTTTAAATGAGGAAACAAGTGTGCCGAGACTGAAAAGGAATACACAAGTACCGGCTCATTTGCAGGACTACAATGTCACTCTTGATAATGAAATTGATGAAAATTGAGAGGTTGTACACTTCATTTTTCTTGCAGATTCAGAACCTGTGAGATTTGAGGATGCAATTTATGATTCAAAATGGGTCAATGCCATGAATGAGGAGATGAAAGCCATTGAAAAGAATGGAACATGGCAACTCGCAGATTTACCAACAGGCTTTAAGGCTATTGATGTCTATTGAGATATTTCAGATATTCAGTTTAGATTTAGTAGATTTATATCTAGATTTGAGTCTATCGAGTATGTTTTGTATTGCCTATATATAGGCTCCTTATTTTGATGATCAATAAGACAATCTCATTATTTTCCCCCAAAATTTCTAACATGGTATCAGAGCCTATTTTTCTCATGCCGTAGATATAGCCTACCAATCCGTGTTTCTCCGGGTACAATCCAGGATTGTACCGAGGTCTTGTGATTTTGAGATTATGTCTTTGCAAGTTGTCTTTTTGCAAATCTGTCTCGTCTCGTCTCTGATCTGTCATCTGTCCGCTGCTTGTCTGTTGTCTTGTCTGTGTGCAATCTGAAATCTTCGCTGCTTGTCTGTTGCCTGCGAGCAATTTGAAATGATCTGTCATATGTCCGTCGTCTGTCTGTTGCTGCGTGTGATCTGCCATCAATCGTTGTCTGTCTGTTGCTGCGTGCGATCTGCCATCTGTCGTTGGTTGTCTGTTGCCTGCGTGTGATCTGCCATCTTTGGTTGCTTATTTGTTGCCGGAAATCTGTCTATGATATGCCATCTGTCCGCTATTTGTCTGTTGCCTGCGTGCGATTTGATCTGTCCGATGTTTGCAATTTGTTTGTTTTCAGCTCCGGTGGTCATATGATTTTCGACTCCGGAAGAGTCATCTCGTTTTTTGCTCATGTGGAGAGTCATCTCGTTTTCGACGGCTCCGGTGGAGTCATGTCATCTTCGACTCCGGTGGAGTCATCTCGTTTTTAGCTCCGGTGGAGTCATCACGTTTTCAGCTCCGGTTGAGTCATGTCGTTTTCGGCTCCGGTGGAGTCATCTCGTGTTCGGCTTCGGTGGAGTTATGTGGTTTTTGGCTCCGGTGGAGTCATGTGGTTTTCGGCTCAAGTTGAGTCATCTTGTTTTCGGCTCCGGTGGAGTCATCTCGTTTTCGATGGCTCCGGTGGATCTCATTTTCGATGGCTCCGGTGGAGTCATGTCATTTTCGGCTCCGGTGGAGTCATCTCATTTTCGGCTCCGGTGGAGTCATCTCGTTTTCAGCTCCGATGGAGAGTCAGCTCGTGTTCGGCTCTGATGGAAAGTCATCTCGTGTTCAGCTCCGATGGAGAGTCATATCGTGTTCGGCTCCGGTGGAGTCATATCGTTTTCGGCTCCGGTGGAGAGTCATCTCGTTTTTTTCTCCAATGGTTGGATAGTCAATTGCTAATTTTATTTATTTTTTTTGTGTTTATATTCAAATTTCTCAGCAAACTCAAGTTGATTTTTGTTATACCACTTGAGTTTGAGGGAGGATGTTGAGATATTTTAGATGTTCAGTTTTAGATTTAGTAGATTCATATCTAGATTTGATCTTATCAACAGATTAGATTACTTAGATTTGAGTCTATCGAGTATGTTTTGTATTGCCAATATATAGGCTCCTTATTCTGATGATCAATAAGACAATCTCATTATTTTTTCCCAAAATTTCTAACAATGTCAAATGGATTTATAAGATCAAACTTAAATCCAATGGCAGAGTAGAGAGATACAAAGCACCACTAGTTGTGAAAGGCTTTAAGCAACGAAAGAGTTGCGATTATGAAGAAGTATTCTCCCTTGTGGCCCAAATGGAGACAATAAGGTTGATAATTGCTTTAGCGGCTGAAAGGCAATGGAAAGTACACCAAATGGATGTCAAGTCAGCTTTTCTCAATGGCCCACTTGATGAGGAAATTTATGTCCAGAAGCCACCTTGATTCATGTAGGAAGGATATGAAAATAGATTTTATAGACTTAAAAAGGCCTTATATGGCCTCAAGCAAGCACCTCGAACATGGAATAAACAAATTGATTTGTTCCTTCAAAAAGATGGATTTGTAAAGTGCCCCTCTGACCATGGATTGTACGTGAAGGATAGCAATGATAATTTATTAGTTTTATGCCTTTATGTTGATGATATTATCTTCACAGGAAGAGTTTAAGAAGTTGATGATTATGGAGTTTGAAATGACCGATCTCATGTCTCATGTCTTCTTTTTTGGAAATCACAGTAGATCAAAGGAAAGATGGAATTTTTGTTAACCAAGAAATGTATGCTTCAGAATTCCTAAAATTATTTCAGATGCATGATTCTAACCCTGTTGGGACACCAATCGATACCCGTACAAAATTGACTAAAATTGGGGATGATCGAATGGTTGATCCTACTTTGTTCAAGAAAATCGTCAGGAGTTTGAGATATCTTACTTCCACATGACCCAATATTTGCTATGCTTTGGGGCTAATGAGTCGCTACATGGAGTCGCCAAGACAATCACATTTGTAAGTTGTGAAGCGAATTATGTGTTATATCAATGGCACTCATAGTTATGGTTTATTTTACCCTTCATCCAAAAAGAATGAACTTGTTAGTTACTCAAACAGTGATTGGGGTGGAGATTTGGATGAACGAAAAAGTACAAGTGGTCATTGTTTTATGTTAGGAAACACGGCGTGTACTTGGTCTTCAAAGAAGCAATTGGTTGTTGCACAATCAACTTGCAAGGCTGAATATATTCCAGCATCTTTGTGTGCCTGCCAAGCTATATGGTTCAGCAACATAATGTGCCAACTTGGTTTTAAACTACCAGGTCAGATCAATCTTTATGTTGACAACAAGTCGGCTATTGATTTAGCTAAAAATCCATTGTTTCATGAGAGGAGTAAGCACATTGAAATACAATATCACTTCTTGAGAGATCAAGTTAATAAAGGAAAGATCAAGCTGGAGCACTGCAATACTGAAAATCAAGTGGTGGATATTTTTACAAAGCCATTAAAAGCTGAGACCTCCATCAAGATGAGGAGCATGCTTAGAGTGACGGTTCTGTAAATCAGAATTAAAAGAAGATGTTGATTGAATAATTGATTCTGATTGAGTCCTATATTAGGTGTTGATTGAATAATTAATTATGATCAAATCTTATATTAGGTGTCGATTGAATAATTCATTGTGATTGAGTCTTATATTTAGGATATAAGATTTATTTACATATTTTAGTATGTTTTTCTTTCATAGAATTTTGGTTTATCTAGTTGAAATAAGTGAGAATTTTTATCTTCTTGGTTATTTGTATCATCGCCTTATCTTCATTCAAGTTTGACTATTTCATTTCGTGTCATCCAAAATAATTGGTTTCACATAAACTGGTTGCTGCTCGCCAATGGCCGAAAATAATCATGGTCTTGGATACTGTGATAAGGGTCGAGGTTACGCCGCCCCTGCCAACAAGGTTATCTCTCAGGAATGTGATTTGCATGGTATGAAAAATAAAAAATT